ACACACACACACACACACACACACACACACACACACACACACACCATCTCTGTCTATGGTAATTCCTGTGATGATGACGATGATGAAGGGCACAGCTGGGTGAATCAGAGGAAGTTTTCAGTTCGCTGAAGTCGAGAGCTCAGAACATCTTCTGGTGTGAGACCAGGAGACACACAAATCCAGAGTCTTCTTAAAAGTTTTTCCCACAGTGCACCTCTCCGTGCACAGTATTGGATCCTCGGGGCTTCCGTAGCAACATTATTGAAGCGCAGCAAACAGCAACGCGGCCGCGCTCGGCAGACCGGGTCACCTTCACGGTTCTGAGGCTGCTCGCAGATTTATTTTTGGCTGTCGACCCGTCGCGTGGGTTCTGCAGCACCACAGGACATTAACTGTGCTCCATAACGAGCTCGACTTCAACCGCTGCACTCAGATAACACCGGAGCTCGCGGTGCGGCTCCCTGCGGCTCAGCTCAACCTCAAACTTCATCTGAAACGTCTGTCAGCGCTTCTCCATCGCCCACAAACCCGGAGACTCCCGTCCAAAGACAGCAGGAGTCAGTCAACCAATCACAACGCACCGTTTTCATCTCACACGCGTGAGTGCAGTCCTACCTGAATCGGAGCGATTTGGAGAGCTGAGCTATCCGAGCTCTGCGGAGGAGAGAGGACGAACCATCCATCAGGAGTCAGAGCTCAGAGCTGACTGAGAGCGAGGCTGCGTGTGTGTGTGTGTGTGTGTGTGTGTGTGTGTGTGTGTGTGTGTGTGTGTGTGTGTGTGTGCAGCATTATCCTGATGTCCAGCTGGCTGTCACTCTGTCGGTTATAAAGCTGCACTCAGCATCAGCACCACGCACACAGAGGCTGGGACAGATGTTGTGCAGAGGTTCAGCAAACACTTCCTGGTGTCACACACTTCCTGTTGGCCGTTAAACCTCGCTCAGGCTTGAAGCTCCTCCCACACCTGCATGAATCCAGGAGGAGACCTGCATCTGGATTAATTCCTCACTCACTCACAGTTTCCTGTCATGACACGCGCACGCCGACCATGTTTGTTCTCATGTTGGTGAATCAGGTTAATCGCTGCGGTCTGAAATCTGCCACGCCCCCATTTCTCCATATAAGGAAACATGCTCACCTCGATGCTGACTCTAACAGTGCCGATTGTCTTAATAAGTCAGGATGCAGTAACCATGGTGATAAATGCTGTAAAGTGTGAAAATCTCGGATTAAATCTGATTATTTTCCCTCAAAGGAAAAACAATCTTGGACTGGTTAAACTGTCGCTTAAAAAAAGCAGACAGGAAGTGAGAGGAAGTGCTACCACAGCACGTGAGGGCGTGGTGGACGGCAGCCCGTCTCTGAGCCTGCTCCTGCTTAAAGGGGCTTCTTCTCCTCACTGTCACCAAGTGCTGCTTGTAGGTGATGGTTGGTGTCGAGTCTTTACAGCTGTATAAACCGTCCGACTGCTGTTGTGTCAAATATCTTTGTTTACTCTCATCAAAATCGCCGAGGAAACGAAAAACATTTTTGTTAAAGGACGTTTTTGAATGACATATTTTCTGGTGACACACATGGATCAGAGCTCAGACAGGAAACGAGTCATTCACGACTTTAAAAATGATTTCACAATAAATTTAAATCGAATTTAACAGGAAAACAGAGTCATACCTGGAAGTTTTCCAGGGAAAAGATCTCATGAAAACACACTCAGGAGGAAACTTTATCTTACAAACCCACCAAACCTCTGCAGAGTGCAGCAGATTCCAGTAAAACCACCTCCAGGCAGTGCTGGGAAGGCTGGGCGGGTTAATGGAAAGAGGGAAAACCCACAACCTCCACCATCAGCAGGAGAGACCTGCTGCATATTCTCCGACCCGCCCTCTGTCTGCCGCACAGAGTTGTCACATGTGACAGACGGACGCCGGGCGTCATTACTGGAGGAAACGCAGAGCGACCAGAAGCAGCAGCCAGAGCAGGAAATGAGCTGCAATATCAGAGTCTGCTGCTCAGCGTCACTGAGCATGAACGACCTGCAGATTCACTCAAACCGACGCGTCCGCGACTCTGACCCGGCCCACAGTCAGAAGCTCTCTCTCTAACAAACCAATCAAACCGTCACCGGCTCGCCGAGACCGAAGGAAACCGTCACATCACGATTCCCAGCAGACCTCTTATGGAGCCAGTTTCCTCCTTCATAACAAACGCTGTTAGAGACCGACTCAGTCGACCCCGCAGGCCTGAGCAAACCTGCAGTTCCTCCAAAGTCCACTAGAGGCTCAGAAGTGAGTCGCCCCCACAGACCCCACGTGAAAGGCAGAAGTGATGCCGTTTGCTCACATCAGGGGTAAAAGCACTCAGCCTGGCTCGTCTGTCTTCATATGATCAGTTTACGTTTAGAAATTCTGAATTTTAGGAACATTTGTCCGTAAATTCATGTAATTTGTTTACATTTATGTTCATTAACATGCACTGTCCTAAATAATGAAATTAAACTGAACAGACGTGGAAACACACTGTGCAGGACCTCAGTGCCTGTTCCAGGCCAGGCTGTCCTGTTTCTAGCAGGGGGGTCTGAACCGTCCATCTGGACCCTGCAGAACCAGCAGAGAGCCCGAGGTGGACCCCGAACACGCAACAGGAGGCCTGACAGCGTCGCCTGCGGGTGGAGATCATCAGGCTGCAGGCGGAGGAAGGACTGTGCACAGACATCCCGTCTGCACCAAGGCTGGAGTGTGTTTATGCTTAGATTTAATGGAATAAAAGACTCAAATCTGAGCGAAGAACAGCTGAAGAACAGCTGAAGAACAGCTCGAGCTCTGGAGGTGTTACCTGTCGGCATCGGCGGGCCGGATGGAGGGCAGTCTGAAGCTGGTGTTTCTGTCCAGTTTGGTCTGACTCCTCGTCCTTTTGATGGAGCCTTTAAGACGTTTACTGAAAAACCCCTGAAGGAGAAACAGCAAAGGTCAGAATCAGTCACAGATGGTGATTTTCACGAGAGCAGCACTGATCTTCACAAAGACACGTTAACGTGGACTTTCATGAGCGTTGGATCGGTGAGTAATCGCTTCAGATATTCGACTGTAACCTCAAACCGTCTTCCAAGAATAAAAGCGGCTCCTGTTTCTACTGATCCACCCTAAAAACTCTCAGATCTCTCAACAGCGTCTCACACGTCCTTTTTCCATCCTGTTTCTGTCACAAGAGCCTCGCTGTGAGCGATGCTGCTGTGGCTCACACAAAGCGCCGCTCTGAGCCAGCGAGGTCGTTCACAGAAACACTTCTCCATCCTCGACCTCACAAACTCAACTCACAGGATCCAGGTGATCCACCAGAAAGATAAACACTGATGCAGCAGCACCATCCCTCAGTCCTCAGCACAAACCACCACCTGCAGTCAGGTTTAATCTCATTATTTTGGTGATTACTGTACGCGATTCAGCAGCGATGAACGGGCTCAGGTGGACGTGCCTCGACTAGAAAACGCCCTCTGGTGGTGTTTTCATGCAGGTGGAATAAATGACGTGAGCGCAGCATCCGCACACACCTGTGCGTTTGAGCTCATTTTAGAGCGACTGTAACTCCGTCACGTTTGCACTGAAGACACAACTCTACAGCGATATTCGCCTGCGCCAGCTGCAGTGAAAGGCGGTGGGGTCTGAGTCGTCCACAGCACAGTGTAGTGTAATGTTTCACAGGTCGCTGAGCTCAGCAGCATGTTTGACCAGCACCTGCTGCCCCCTGGTGGCGTTTTCATGCAGGAGAAACAATAAATGTCTTCAGCTCAGCCACTCTGAGACTTCTGGTAGAAGATTCATGTGTCTGTTGTTTTGCTGGTATTAAAAATCACTCTGACATCTAAACACACTGACACCACCCAGGCCTGCTTCAGGCTGAGTGCTGATTGGTTCCACACTGATGAGTCATCCCTGTATCTCCATCTATGATCAAACTCTGATCAAACCCTTCAGCTCTCAGGTCGTCTGTCACAATAAAAGCCCCGTGCAGAGCTGTGGAAGTGAGCGGCCTCATTTCCGGAGATATTAATATCCTCAAACGCATCACCTCCTCCCCCCCTCCCCTGCAGACTCCCTTCAGGCTCATTGGCTCCTTTTAATGCATCAGAATAAAGACGCATCCTGCCAGAGAGCGAGGAACACTTCAAACAGGCCTCCTGCACCCTTAAAAACCGCCACCGCCAAACAGCCAATCACACCTATTGATCACGATTATTGGTCTCTGAGGATCGCTGAACAGACGACTGAAAGCTTCGTGTCACTTCCTCACCACTGATGAACTCCCAGCATGCTCCCCGGCCGTGTTTACTTAAATCTGCGTGAAGACGTCTGAAACTAAAAATACGACCTGAGAGCTGCGACACAAACTCTCAGCACAGAGTTTCAGCTCTGCTTCAAAGTGCTAACGACGGGAAAACAGTCGCAGCAGAGCTTCAAACAGAGACGCTGGAAACTAACAGAACAACAGCTGCAGTAATATCCTGTGTTCGATTGCACCGACATTTTATTACTGAGCACTTTCCTGATAACCAAGCTAGTTAGCATTAGCATGCCACCCTCCCTTCTGGCTGTGAAAAACTGACGAGGCGTTGATGAGTGATGCCACGACCTAAACACACACGTAACTTATTAGTATCAAGTATTCAGACTTTAGCGCCACCTGCTGGTAACAGGAACTCTGCCTTATGTACAGCCTGATATACAGCAAACAGGCGACACATGTCCGTGCTCTGAGGGTGGAGGAACACCAGAGAGGACAACGGAGCAGAGACGGGCCTGAGATCTCTGTGATGGCGTGCAGTAAATAAATACATGCACAGAGACGCGTTCCCGTTACTCACCGGCACTTTGAACGGAGACGTGTTTGGATTGTCGACTGCGACGCTCTTCTCCGAGCTCCCCAAACCAGAAATACTCCTCCTCCTCGGAGATCTCTCCGAAGAAACTTCTGCAAAGAGAGAGAGAGAGAGGGAGGGTTAACCAGCATCATCATCATCATCAGCCTCTGAGCTGAGCGACGGAGGACAGGTGAAGACGTTCAGACATGACGGAGGACGAGGACAGACGTCGGGTCGCAGATACCTACACCTTCTGTCAAACGTTCTTCCAGTAATCAGGCCGCCAACACACTTCAAGTCATTTTCACCAACCAAAGTGCTGCAAACGGACTGAAAGGTTCAAATAGGAAGAAAACCAGAGAGCGCCAACAGCACGTAACCATGACGACTGCCGCTGACCAGTGCAATCATCTGAGCCGCCACATCTTATGGGCCGTGTCCTGATTTAACTGAAACGTAAACATTTACTGGACTGTAAGTCAAGGCAGATGTTCCACATGAGGTCTACGGGAGAGTCTGATTGGTTACACATCAGAAGTAAAAGCCAATCAGAACTGAGAACAGAGAAACACATTCAGTCTGAAGCAGCAAAAACAAATGAGCTGAAAGAGTCACGATAATAAGAGAGTAACTTTAATGAGACAAACTTTAAAACATGAAGACAAGTCAGCTGTGACGGCGCCACAGCGGCTATGCTAATGGCAAAAAGGCTAAATTATGCTAGCAGCTACATGGACAGGAAGCCTCAGACTTCCTGAAACCAGCTCAGCTAAAACTTGAACATGTGAACAGCAAACAGAAGAGGAGCAGACAGAAGCAGTGCTGGGACCATCTCTACGTTATTTAATATGAACACTAACCAGGATTTCCACGGCTCAATGACAGAGGATTCAAAAGTACACGACTAATAATAAATAACATCAGTGATGAGAGCATGACGCAGATTCTTTCTGCACCTGTAAATCATTCAGATATCGCTCCTCTGTCTCTCCTCTTCTTTAATAATCTGTATCGGCCTCGCCAAGCTTCCTGCTGCAGAAACCAGAGTCTAACATTTCCGCGTCCTCCTCTGCAGCTCTCTGCAAACACATCCAGTGGGCCGGGTTGGGCCCCGAGCCACATGTTTGACACCTCTGTATGAGAGTTCATAACGCAGCCGTTTGGAGCATGAAGACAAACACGAGCCACAATCAGCTGTGGGAGTTCCACCCCGACCCAGCTCAGGCCGCCGCCGCCTTATACGGAGCCAGCAGCGTCATGGCGACACCAGAACAACATGTGGAGAGACGCTGGCGTCCGACCGGCAGCGTGTGGAGCCAACATGATGTTTACATGCTGAGGAAACAAAACGTGCTGCTCTGCAACAGGAAGTGAGGGCAGCATGCAGCAGCGGGGAGCTGTATCAGGTTCCAGCTGCAGGACGAGGCGCTCGCCGCATGCACGCCGCAGGCATGCAGCGCTGCAGGCATGCAGCGCTGCGAGGAAGCCGGGGACAAACTTTCATGCAACCCCCCCACACCCCACCAACCGAACCACCCCTGACGATGGAGGAAGAGGAGCGCTGACGGGGACGCCATCAGCGCTGGTCTTTCACTCCCGGGACAAAGTTGAGGCAACATGCGGCAGGAAGCCAGGTATGACAGGTCGGTCACATGACACGGACAGAGACATACACAGAGGGAGAGAGAGGGAGACGGTACCTCGATCGCAGCTGTTCCCCATCATCTGAGGAGAGGACACACACAGAGTCAGACGGGATTGGCCGGAGCCGCTGCCACCTGTCAGCCAATGAGGTTAAGCTGCAAACATCCGTCTTTGTCCCGTCCTCCACTTTGGCATCCCCCAGCCCTCCCCTCTGCCACCCCTCCCTCCTCAGCACCGCATCCTCCTCCTTCACGCTGCCTCCTTTCCCATCTCCTCCTCCTCTCTCTCCACTCAGCAGTAATTCTAAGTCTCGCTCGTCCGCTCGCTGAGGTTTTACCGCATTTCTTCAATCAATCCCACAAACTGCTCCGTTCTGCTGTCTCTCCTCCTCTTCGTGTCTTCCTTCCTCTCTGCAGACCCTCCTCTCCCTCTCCCTCTCTCTCTGCAGCACCTCCCTCTCCCTCCTCTTCCTCTCTCGCTGCGTTTATCGCTGCCCTCGGAGGATAATTACCAAATAAGTTTCCCCTCAGCCGGCTGATGTGGGACACAACTCTGGGGGCCGAATCACATCAGGCCTGCAAATTAACTCTATTTTCAGAGTCTGTTCATTGATCCGATCACTCGCTAATCACCATTAATCACTTTCAAAAGCATAATTTATGTCATCGGTGACCCGGCACTGAAGAGTCGACGCTTTTTAATAACACAAAATGTTCACACTCTGGCTCTTTAACCATTCAGCACAGGATCCGACGCCTGTCTCTGAGTCTGAAGACTTTCAGAGTTTCTTAATGATCTGCTCTAAAATGAAAATTATTGAAACTTTTAGAAACTGTACCTGCAGCTGCGTGCAGACTATGAAACAGTAATCAGACGCTCTGCCTGCTGTTCAGCTTAAATATTATTTCCTGTCATTCAGACCATCAGCATCAGTCCACACCTGCTGTTGTTGGCACACAGGTAGACTCAGTGCAGCAAAATTTAAACCCACTCATGACCAAGTGTCCTCTGTCACACTCAGTGGATCCTCTGATCATCTATAAATATCTATTGATCAGCTGTGTCTCAAATATCTGTACTCTGAGACAAGTAATCGGCAGATGAGCCACACCAGGAATCGAACCAGCAAACATGTGACGTGTGATCAACAGTAATCATCAGTTTGCTCAGGTTTTCACCTTCCTCCTCCTCCTCCTCCTCCTGCTGCTGCTAACGAGATATTGATCAGCGGGAACTCGGCTCAATCTGTCGTTTCAGCGGATCCACCAGAGACACGCGACCTTCACAGACGGGGTCACGGTCAAACCAGAGACCAGCAGCTCGCCAGTCTGGTGCTTTGGTCTATTTTTGCTTAGGTCTGTGACCTGTGGGCGTGGCTTACACTAACACTGTAGCTAACAGACTGAGGTAAAAACCATGCACGTGCACTGCTTCTGAAACTTTGCACCTTTTCATCTAAATACGCTTTTTAAAAAAAACAAAGTTATCAGCTGATGCAGCTAGCTGCTAATTAGTGCTAACACCCACGTTTGTTAGCAGTAACCTCACAGCAGCCATGTTATTGGCCAGATGATGTCATTAAGCTTCCAACCGCACAAACACGCGCCATTGGTCCAGTTCAGGTCAAGCTAGTAGACAGCTAGCAGCTCAGCCGCCTGTCAGTCAAACAGGCCCCGCCCCCAATAATACAAACTTTAAGCAGGCTGTAAACATGTTGCAAGCATTGACTCACTGCCAGAGCCTCTAGTGGTCATTAGAGGAACTGCAGGTACAAAAGCATGAACGTGTGAACAGATGCACACTGAGGGACTCTGGACGGCTTTCAGTTGCTGGATCTTTCCGCCGCCCTCCCTCTGACAACCACGACTTTGGGTTAAATCGGCTCACGTGTCGGCTCGTAGGTATCGAGCTTCCCGGACGGACTCGTGGGAAAACCGCTGCTAAAAATAAGCCTGAGGGCAGAGAGAGGCAGAGCCGAGGGACAGGAGGAGGCTATCGGGTGTCAGAGAAACTCATCCATCAGCTGCTGGTGTCGGTGCACGCGATGGTTTCAGCCTGTTTGAGTTTAAAATCCCGTCGGCCTCCGAGGGCTCCCTGAACATCTGTCCGCTCACAGCTGGCTGATTAGTTTAATGTCTGAGTTATCCACTCGACCGCCTGATGAATGAGCAGCTCTGTGAGGACAAACCTCCACAAACAGAAACCTGCACATAAACAACCAGGTAATACTGACCAATCACATCTCAGCAGACAGCGAGCAGGTAAACACTGAACCGTGAGCACCCTCCTCCCATCATAAGTGGTTCAACCTGTCACCTGTGTGTGTGTGTGTGTGTGTGTGTGTGTGTGTGTGTGTGTCAGTAGTGTGACACCGCTCAGAAAAGATGAATGGGTGGATGTGATGTCATCAGAAAGGAGCGTGAGGAATGCTGAAGCTGACCTCTGTTGAACTCTGGCTCATTCAGGAGTTGACACAACAGCTGACACACACACACACACACACACACACACACACACACACACACACACACACACACACACACACACACACACACACACCAGTCTGCTGCACAAAGAAACCTTTGTTGTCTGCAGGGCAGAGTGGGCGGAGCTTTCACAGCAGCAGGTATAAGGTGAGATTCCCAGAAAGTCCTGGTTTTAGCGAATGTTTCCCAGAGTGGGAGCGTGTCTAAGAGCAGAGCCGTGAGGCCACAGCGCCTGCATGAAGGTGAAACAGCCTCATGTCCAAACATCATCAGGCGTCTGGGCTCACGGCCGTTACATCACAGGTCTGATGGCTCATGACATCATTTATCAGTGTTTACACATTTTTTGTATTAACGGCTGTCAGCCTGCAGCAAATCTCACATATTTTATATGATTATTAGAAAACAACAAACTAAAAGATTCCGTGTAACAAAAAACACTGAAGAGTGACAGTGGGTGAAGGGATCACTTCTTTCCACATTTAAACAATTTCAAGTGTTTGAATGTGGAAATACTGACGGTAGGAACAGCGTGGATCCTGTGGAGGGCTCAGAAACCACCGCGTTCTCTGGCGTTCGCCTTTTTTAAACTTGTTGTGCCGGCTTTGTTCCTTCTCTTCAGTTGTCATCAGTTTTTCTCAGCAGGAATGATAAAAACAACGAGACCCCGTCAGCCCTCCTCCTCACACTCAGCTCCGCTTTCACAACAAATATTCAAAGAATTTCTTTTCACATAATGAAACCAGTTCTGTTTGTCGAGCCTCGTTCGGCCCGTGCGCGTCCGCCGCCTCCTCTCGCGTCGCTTCACATTCCTCTGAATAAATTAACAGTATCAGTGAGACTGAGCCACCAGCTCGCCCCGCTGCCGCTGCTCAAACCACGACCACGGCGCCAGGATTCAACCTGCTGTCACCTGCCCGATCGGCTCGGATGTCGTTCGCTTTGGTTTCTGTCATGAGGAATGTCAGGGCAGATTTAAG